TTAAAAGACTTACCTTATTTAACTCTATTTATTTAATTTAATTTAATTTAATTTAATTTAATTTAATTTTATTTTATTTTATTTTATTTCATTTTGACCAGAGAGAGTGAGAGAGAGCAAGAGACAGGAAAAGTGAGAAAGCAAGCTGCCAGGTCTGGGACTTGAACCACTGTTGCCCATGTGGGAGTTCAGCGCCCTTAACCACCACACCACCTGCTGGGTCCACGCTAGTCATCTTTTAAATATTCATTAACTAGGGTGGTCAGTACCTACCATATCAAACAATGCTGTTCTAAAGGATTTTGTGGGGATTTTCTCAGACTCAAACTTGGAAAGAAGGGAATATACTGAATATCTTCCATTTGCATAGAAAACCGAATATTTCCAAAGCATTTTCTCATGTCCTATTTCATTTTATTCTCATGTATCTGTTAGGTAAGTTGAGCAATGCTATTTGCCCTGATTTGCAGATGAGCTAACTGAGGCTCTGAGCAAGTTAACACCCAAGTTTCCAAAGCAAGATAGTGATGAAGCCAGGACTGGAATTTCTGCTTAGCATTTCTCATCCATTTCGTTCTTGAAGTGTGTTTCAGTTACTAAGAAACACAGTCTTGGGGCTGGTAGGTGGCGTGATGGGTAAGGGCACTGGATTCCCACATGGCTTACTACAGTTCAAGTCCCAGACCAGGCAGCTTGTTTTCTTGCTTTCTCTCTCTCTCTCTCTCTCTCTCTCTCTCTCTGTCTGCCTTGCTTGCTCACGCTGTCCCTTTTTGGTCAAATTAAAATAAATAAATAAATGAAGTTTAATAAAATAATAATTAAAAAAAAAAAAAGAAAGAAACACAGTCTTCAGTCAGTCACCTGCATCGCTGAGTTGCCATTTACCAAATCTTTGACTGCCCTGGGGGCATTCCTTGATAGTTCCCTATCCTAAGGCTCTCACACAGTCCAGCAAATGTTTCCTTTGGCTTTGGAGCAGGCTTGATATACCATTCCTCTTCTCTATTTACTCCCAGCAAAGCGTAGCCTTTTAAACCACTGCCCCATTCACTGTACTAGCTAATAGACACAGTTGTAAGGCATTCATCTTTAGTTGTGTCAAAGATACATTTTATACCTGGGTCACTTCCGGATGGCAGCATGTCCTTCCGCCCCAGTCCCCATTGCACACACATGAACAAACAGATCAGCATTTCCTGGCTCGGGATTTGCAGCAGCTCTTCCAGAATTACACACTGTCACGTGTGGCAGGACAGTCTCTCAGACATGTCCCAAGGCATGACATTGGACAGTATCCTGAGCGGACACCTCCCCAGTTCTGTTTTCTCCAAAGGTCATGTCATCGTCTTCTTTCCATCTCTCATCCATCTATTAAGAGCAGAATGCTTGGTCCAGCAAAAGAGCTGTTGAGTGAGTGAGTTTGTAGAGTACAAAAATCAAAGCACTCAGGACCAGCAGATGGCATAATGGTTATGTCACTGGACCCCCGCATAGTCAACTACAGATTGAGTCCCAGACCAGGCAGCTTAAAACATGCTGGGCACATATGTGTACATGCCCAAAATTCCAAGAAGAGAATGGAGAAGGGATTGTGACATGGCCATCCCTCCTGGGGGGTGATTTCTCACTTTCTGTTTCTCTGGCAAGCACACCTGCCCTATAGCAAAAATCTCTCTCTCTCTAAAAAATCTAAAGGAAAAAATTCTTTTCCCTAAAAAAAAAAAAAAAAAAAAAAAAAAAAAAAAAAAGAATAAAAGGGCAAGAAAAAAAATCAAAGCACCCTAGAAGGAGACTCAACGGTGATGGAATAATTATGCTGTTTTCATAGACCTTGCTTATTAATCATTTTAACTCTGAAGATGACCAAGATCTCTTTCATTTTTTGGGGGGGGGAGAGGAGGGGAGATTCCTTGCTACAGGGAGTGTGCTCTCACCAGAGAGACAAAGAGACAGAAAGTGAGAAATCACTCCCCCCAGGGGGAATAGTCACACCACAATCCCTTCTCCATTCTCCTCTTGGGATCTTGGGCATATACGCACACACGCCTGGAGTGAGTTTAAGCCCCTGGGGCCAGGACTCGAACTGTGTTCAACTACATGGAAGTCCAGCGACATAGCCATTATGCCAACTACTGATCCCGACTGTATTACTACTATTTAGATTAAAAAAAAGTATACTGGGGCTGGCACTTGGCATGGCAAGGAGGGTCCAGAAGAAGGCATTGTTATCATAGGAGATGACAAGCCATGTGATAATGTCGCTGAAGACCTTCCAGTGGGAAGACAGTTATGTAGACACTCCAGACCCTGTGTAGTCTAGGCTGATGTATGTATTTGTACCCTAGTTTTTGACTAAAAATCTTACAATGTTAAAAAAAGGAAGAAAAAATTTTGTAGTTATTTTTTGCAGAGAGAGACAGAGAGAAATAGAGAGAGGGAAAGTGAGAAATCACCCCTTGAGGGGATGGTCATGACACAGTCTCTTCTTCACTGTCTTCTAAGGATTTGGACATGTATGCACTTGTACCCAGTGTGATTTTCAAAAGACCAAGTCCAGGATTCACACTGGGGTCAGCCATGTGGAAGACCAGCGCTTTAACCACATCACCTACTGGTCTCTAATAAAATTTTTTTAAATAGAAAAAAACCTTTAGGAATAAAGGTATACATAAATAAATAATTTTTGTATGACTATACAGTGTGTTTGTAGTATTACAATTAAATCAAAAAAATTTTAAAAAAG